TAAGCTAATTCTTGGCTAGAAAATATTTGTATTAATATTTTTTGTTAGCTATTTTATTTTTGAGTGTATAATAATAAATTTGATTTTCGAGTGTATAATAATACATTATTCACATCAAATTTTATATTTTGAAAGACAAGTCACGTGGAATTGAGTGTTATCAAATATTAAAATCATGCAATTTATTGATAAAATATTATATTTTTAATTTTAATAATAAAAGTTTGATTTTTAGTAATTGCATAAAAAATATTAATCAAATAAATTGGGTTTCTTTTAACCTATTGTTATGATATAAAAAAAATCTTAAAATTAATTTGTTTGAAAAGATTACGTGTCAATACTTAAATAATATATTAAAATAAAAAATCATAAAGGAAGAAAACAAATATCATTATCTTTGTTGATTCGTAGAGAGTAACATAAAGCCATTTCCCTTGTTGTCTTTTTAAGCCACAATTTTGAAAATGAAAACAAAGGAAAAGAAATATAAAAAAGGACGTCCTTGTACAAGAAACCAAAAAAAAAAAACGCAATCCGTATAAAATTAATAAAAAAATTTAAGCATTTAGATGCTAATAAAAAACAACAAAATAGAAAAATAGAAAATAATTAAATATAAAATTTTTTATATTCACAAATAAAATAAAAATAATATATTAATATTCATAAATTATTTAAATTTGATTTAAATAAAATTTAAATTTTGATTAATTATTATTAAACGAGTTGATTTTAAATAATTTAATATTTAATTTAAATTTAAATTTTAATATATTTTTATTATTTAAATTAAAAAATTATTATTTTATTTTTATATAATTCAATTCGATCACTTAATCAAATAAAAAAATTAAAATTTTTTTTATTAAATAAATTTAATCAATCGAATCCAAATATCTTAGGTTTTATCTGAAATCGAATTCAAATTTAAAAATTATAAGTCCATGGAAATTGACTGAACTTTTAGCGACAAATTTCGAGTTACACTCCATCTTTTCATGGTATGGACTCAACTGTTACACCTTGCTCGCAAGATTGAAAAGAACAAGTAGCAAATAGTTTCTCTACAAAGAATTTTATGTTGGGTTTTTCTTTTTAGTTTTGTCAGAAGAGAAAAGGAAAGAAACTGGAAAAAGAATTTTTTTTTCTTTCATTCTCTCAATCATGTCTTCATCTTCTTCTGTTCTTCAATGTTTCCTTCTACTCTACTTCTTCTTCTTCTTCTTCTTCTTCTCACGTGTCCAAGCAGCCAAATTACCATTCCATCCTCAAGATGTTCTGCATTTATTGCCGAGACAGGTTTCATGGCCGATCCTCAACTCTCTTAGCAGCCCCGTTGACCTTTTACCAGCCTTTGTCGGCTCTGTTTCATCCCCAAACCGCAGCGTAAATTGGAAAGGTGCGTGCTTTTATGAGAACACGGCTTGGATGGAGTTCCATAACAAGACTGGCAGTGGGGTTGGTGGTGGAACTCTCCATATCAAGGTATTAACTTTGGCTTTTTTTTTTTTTTTTTTTTTTTTCAGGTTTTTAGAGTGTTTTGGTTTTGGTTATTGCTTGGTTTAAGCTGAAAGTGCTTAAATTTTGAGGTTCTTTTTTTTTTAAACTCTTTTGGAGTGTTTTGGTGTCGGGTATTGCTTGGTTTGAGCTGAAAGTGTTTAAATTTTGAGTTTTTTTTTAAAAGGTTTTTGGAGTGTTTTGGTTTTGGGGTATTGCTTGGGTTGAGCTGAAAGTACTTAAATTTTGGATTTTTTTTATTAAGTTTAGTTTCGATGGACTTTTATGGAGAGAGGAAAGTGCATTATTGGGTTCTTTTATTATTATTATTATTTTTTTCACTTAATTTGTCGACTTTGGGAGTTTGATTTCATATGTTTCTTGTTTTCCCGTTTCAATGGCCATATATGCACCTCAAGCTTTGAGTTATAGTATTCTGGTGAAGTTAGAGGACATTTCCTGATAAATTTTTGTAATTAGGATATTTACATAAATCAGGCCCAGAATGATGCAAAATGTTTTCTTATGGTTGATGGTGGAAATGGTTAGAGATTGCAAGGATAGAAAGATGTGAAAATGATATATATGTGCTTATCCAGGTTAGCAAAGCGCATAGTTGGACATGTATGGATCTTTATGTCTTTGCAACTCCATACCGCGTAACTTGGGATTATCATTTTTTATCTCGGGAGCATACACTTGAAATCAAGGAGTGGGAAGAAAGAGCTGAGTATGAATATGTAAGTTGCCATTCTCTGTTAGTTTGGCTTACAACAAGTTTTAGCTTGTTTCAGTCATGCATCTTTCCTGCATACTCATACATGGTTTTTACATCACAATTGAATTAGGTGAAAAACAAGGGGATTTCTATTTTCCTGATGAAAGCAGGAATGCTTGGAACACTTGAGGCTCTGTGGGATGTCTTCCCCTTATTTACAAATACTGGATGGGGTGAGAACTCCAATATTGGGTTTCTTGAGAAACACATGGGGGCTTCTTTTGAACCTCGACCTCAGCCCTGGGTCACAAACATTAGTGTTGATGATATACACTCGGGAGATTTCCTTGCAATATCAAAAATTCGTGGGCGATGGGGTGGTTTTGAAACTCTTGAGAAGTGGGTTAGTGGAGCCTATGCTGGTCATACTGCTGTTTGCTTAAAGGATCCTGAAGGGAAGCTATGGGTTGGTGAATCAGGACATGAAAATGAGAAGGTAATAGAAAACCTTTCAGCTTAGCTATAGCAAATTTAACCCTCTACATATTATCTTTTTCTCTCTTTTTCTATATAAACAAATATCCTTTCGCCACCGCTGTTTTTATTACTGTTTTTACCTTACCTTCAGTTATTTTGACTGAGTTTTAGTAACATATCAGGTAAACTATTGATTGGACATTATTTCTCCAGGTATTATTATGCATGTTCATTATTATTTTATCTGTTCTGGTTTATAGGAAGGATATTATCGCAATTATACCTGGATGAATGGTGGGGAATTTGAGCTGAACAAAGGATGATTTCAAGTCCCATTATTGCATTACTTCCTTTGGCATCCTGATGTGCGAGACAAGTTTAATGAGACTGCTTGCATGGGAGTATGCAGTAGCATGGCAGGGCAAACGTTATGGGTATCAAACCTGATATTTAGCTGGATAGACACCGTAGATGGGATTATCCTCCTCCATTGGATGCTCGCTTGGTATTTAGTATTTATTTTTGATTACCTCAATGATTGTATTGTATGCGCGCAAAGGTTTTCTGCCTCTTCTACCTTCTCCTTTCTCTATTTTCTCTCCTTCCGTTTGTTGTTTATTCTAATTATTCCTGCAGCTTTTGATCATTTGGTGGGTCATTTTTAAACCATGTTCAATAGATATTTTATTGGTCTTTTTCTTCCTCTTTCTTGGTGTTTTTCTTTTTCTTTCTTTTTGTCTTACAAACCCATGCAACTCGGGTTAAATTTTTGGAGCGATATGGAATTAAAACTTGATTATTTGTATGTCATGTATTTTCCAATAGTAGAATATTTTGCAATAGGTGTGCAATGAGCTTATGTAGACCACTATGCTATGTTGTATCATTTTTAGCACTAGAAACAAAACTGCAGGGAAGGGCGGTAAAAAAGCACACAAAGATAGGATGATTAGCAAATTCTAATCTGTTTCTTGTACTCTTTGTTAAATGCATTAACAATGTTGTTAATGCATATGACTTCTTTGCCCTCTGTGTTGTATTCTCTCTCTTTGAAAGTTTTTCAGTTCATAGGATCTAATGTTTGCCTGGTGATCGTACAGGTAGCTTCTGTTATGACAGTTTGGAGTAAAATACAGCCTGAATATGCTGCTAACATGTGGAATGAAGCCTTGAACTTGCGACTTGGAACTCAGGTATGATGTCTTTCTTGGTTGGTTAACTTATGCGATAGAAATTGAGTTGGTTTGAGATTTATGTGTTGAAGATAACATGCACGTGAGTTGGTTTGAGATTTATGTGTTGAAGATAACATACACGTGAGTTGTTTTTTTTTTTTTGGAGCTTCTTTAATGATTTGATAGGAGTAGCTTGGCCTAGATGCTTCAACGACTGATCTGATCTATTGCTTTTTGCTTTTGAAAAATATTGAATCAATTAGCTATTTTTGTTTTCCTGGTCAGAAGTTACAATCAATGTCACACATTATCTCTTCTTTCTCTAACTATGGTGTTTACTGCAGAACCTTGATCTTCCTAATATATTGGAGGAAACAGAAAAGCGCTGGTCATCTTTTGATGAATTGCTATCTTTTCTTTCTCTAACTATGGTGTTTACTGCAGAACCTTGATCTTCCCGATATATTGGTAGAAATAGAAAAGCATGGGTCATCTTTTGATGAACTGCTGACTATTCCTGAACAAGATGATTGGACATACAGTGATGGGAAGTCAACATCATGCATTGCTTTTATCCTTGAAATGTACAAGGAAGCAGGACCCTTTGATCCGATTGCTGACTCTATTCAAGTCACTGAGTTCACGGTGAGCTCATTTTGTTTAGGGTGATGGGATTTCCCTTCCAAAATACGATATTTCAATTTATTTTTACTACAAACACCTCTGAGTAGTTTATGATGCAAGCTCTTGTTGATTGACATTAATACTGAAAAACACAGATCAAAGATGCTTATACTCTATAAGGTTTTTCGAGAATAATTCAAGCCAGCTGCCGAAATGGTGCAATGATGCAGACGATGTAAAGCTTCCTTATTGTCAGATTCTAGGGAAGTATCGGATGGAACTACCCGAATACAATTCCATGGATCCATACCCCCATATGAATGAACGGTGTTCTTCTCCCATTTATCATTATGCCAGAGCTTTGTGCCAATTGTAGGCAACATGCGACAAGAAGTTGTTATAAATATTGTAATCAAACTACGAGTGGAAGATGACAAGTATTGAATTGTTGTACATAATAGTAAATGGAACATTGGCCCGGATTTCTATCCGAGAGCTATTGGTTTAGTCAAATTTTAGTGTTATATGGAACTGTAATGTTCTAATTTTGCTTGTTTTATGATTTTCATTCGATGTTTACTTGCAGATTAACTAGTCTCAACAGCTTATTTGATTTGAGTTTACTCTAATTCTAACATGGTTGGTAATCAATTAAGCTTGGCTTGAGTGTTGAATTTGGAGTATTTAGTTCTTCAGTTGAAAAACGCTGGTCTGGTATTATGATTCTGAGATTCTTACACTATATTTTACAGGCAAGTTTCTTTGAAGCAAGCAAAAAAATCACAGTTTTGTCGGTCTGATTTGAACTGGTAGTCCTTTAGTTGGAACAGGCAGTGGATCCCTGCTGCAAAAGTTGTCTGATAGTAGCCGGTAACCAGCTAATGAATTGGAACAAGGGTTTCAATCATTGCAAACTCACATCCTGAACATATCCGAGGTCCACCTCTGAATCGAATGAAGCAGTAAGGTGGAAGTCAAGCTGGATTCTCAAATGTAATCGGATCAAATTTTGATGGTTCTGGAAATATGCTACCATTCATTTGTGTCAAACACTGCAGTTCTCGTTCCAAGGCAAACCTTGATGTCTGCAAATTCATAAGAAAATTTATATATCCAGGGGGCATATTCATGTTAGGATTTGCATCAAATCAGACTATAAACCTGATGTCATTAGGAAATTAAATGAACTATTCAGTCCAGAAACACAAGAAATTTAAACTTCAGACGGAGAAAAACAACATAATTTGGGTCACAAACCAGGGTTCTTTGACATATAACACAGGCTATCTTTTGCTTCATGCACACATCCGAGTACAGAACATGTGATACAATTAAAATTTTCTATAATAAGCATATAAGCTTCAATGATCTTGACGCATCTGTTAAATCCAGTAGCGTCAATGTGCTCAACACTGTCATTCAGCCTTGGCCGGAATATGATTACCGCCAGTAGCAATTTTGTACAAGTAAAACCCAGTCATAAGAGCACTGCAATGAAATGACATATGAGTTTGTAGCTCTCAAAATTTTGAATGAATCTCAAACCAACAAAGAAAAGGAGGCAAGGGGATAGGGGTCTAGAATAGATATATAACAGAGGATTTTTATCCAAAAAAACTGAGGATTTAAGGTTAGGCCCTAAAAATTTTGCATCAGAAATGGAAATAATATGAGTTAATGATCTGAGAATCAGTTTCTAGTTGAATTTAGATGGATTATGGAACATAACAACATAACCATCATGAAAGAATCAGAAAATCTGCAGAATTGTATACAAGGTATTGAAATGCAGCATGCGGTCAATATGCAATAGGTATGAAATGAACTGGACATGGATGTTTGATAGTTGACACCATACAAAGGAGCTATTAGTAAGGCACACAACCGGGCAATTTTAAGGCATAATCTTATGATATATTTATCCATATCTGAGTTTTGTTAGCTTTAAATTGATATACGGATCGATTTGTGATGCGAGAAAATGTTAATGGACATACAAATAGAAAATCAACATACCTGATCCCAGCGACAATTCCAGCAGGCATAATCTTCGATGTTTGGTAATAACGTTGACCCATGACCCACGTAAGCACAGCAGCAGTAACTGGTTTAAAGGTATATAAATCAGTAAAAAGAAGAAACTTTTGTTGTCCTTGAAAGGGATGATAGAAAGAAAGCATACAATAAAAAAGTCTCTTTCCATGAACATAACCCACAGTGAAAATCAGCTTATCTTTGATGATCTATTTGTTCCTCAAATGTTGTATTATGTTGCAAAATCTAGCAATAATATTGAATTTCAGATGATTAAAACTTCTTAATAACCCTGCATCAGAGAGCTTTAAGAAGATTAAAGACAGGTAAAGCTATGATAGTTGAGAAAAGTCATTTCAAAGCTAAAACAAAGACCCATTTTTTTTCACAATTTCAGCAAGATAATTGCACCACTTTGGATCTACAATATCCAAAATGGTTCTTCAACTCTGCAATGCAACACCACAAATCCAAAAAAAAAGCAACCAATCAAGCTACCGCATCAGAGAGCTTTAAGAAGATTAAAGACAGGTAAAGCTATGATAGTTGAGAAAAGTCATTTCAAAGCTAAAACAAAGACCCTTTTTTTTTTCACAATTTCAGCAAGATAATTGCACCACTTTGGATCTACAATATCCAAAATGGTTCTTCAATTCTGCAGTGCAACACCACAAATCCAAAAACAAAAGCAACCAATCAAGCTTATGATTACAAAACTTCATTGCAGCATCAAATCTTTGACTACAAAAGTCAAAACTTTTCCATCTCCAACATTTTAACAACAATAAAATTCAGTACCTTCAGAGTACAAATTCATTCGTTTCCTAACTCCAAATCATAAAGGTAATTAAACAAAAACCCAGATCAAATTTATCAAAAAAATTCATAAAACAAAAGAAAAAGACCACAGTACGTAAAAAAGTGGAGATTTTGAAAATATTACCAGTCTCAAGAACCAAAGCAAAATAAGAGTTCGTTCTCTTCTCAAAAGCTCTAAGGCTCAAATATCCAGCAAGAATGAGAAGCAATCCAGTGCCTACACCCCCAACAAGTGATGCTAGGCTCCCTTTCTTCAAATACCCAATTACTCCTCCAGCCACAAGAAGCAATCCATAAGGGATTGTGAAGCAAAAATCATGCATTTTGGGAAAGTTTTTCTTTTCTTCCAAATGAGTTTTCTTCTTGAGAAAATTTAAGAGTAAACTTGAGTTGAACGGATCGAAGGGAAAGAAATGGAAAATCAAATGGGTTTTGCTTTTGATATTTTTTTTGGCTGAAAGTGATGGCTTTCCTGGCGTGTGGAATTTTCAGTTGGGTAAAAGCTCAATGTTTTAACTAATTTTATTTTGTTTATTTTCAAGATTTCTCCCAAACTTATAAGAAGCTTCCAATTTAATTAATTTCAGTTGGTCAAAGGCCTGAAGCTAAGCGTATGGCTCCTGTTCTAATACATTTCTGGTACTGATAAGCTTCTTAGGAGAATTTTTAATGTTATTTAATTCAATACTAATTCCCAGGGTTTGTTTCTTTTTCCTTTAAAGAATCGATTAAAAATATAATTTAAAAGAAAAACGATATCCCATATATTTTTTTATTTTCAAGATATTTCGTTTTCATATTTATTTTTTTAATTAAAAAAAATTCACACATATTAAATTTTAAATAATTATTATAATCTTTGAAAATAATAACCACAATCTTTGATTTTCATAAAGAGATTATTGAATGAATTATTATTAAAAATACCTTGAGTAATTTTTTTTAATTTTTTTATAATAGATTATTTAACGCGTTTTTGATCAAAAACACTTTGAATAATTATTTCTCATTTTATGTGAGGATTATTGAAAGCGTATTTAATTAAAATCGTCTTCAAATTTTTTTTTAATTTTTTTAAAAAAATTATTCAAAGTATTTTTTGTCAAAAATATTTTTAATAATCCCTCTCAATTTTGTGACCAAGATTATTTAAAGCAATTTTGATTAAAAATACTTTTAATAATCTTCTTTGATTTTTATAAAAGAATTATTGAAATCGTTTTTTTACTAAAACTGTCTTGAATAATCTCTTTTAATTTTTTAAAGAGTATTATTGAATACGTTTTTGATCAAAAATAATTTCAATAATTCCTTCATATTTTTTATTAAGGGATTATTTAAAATGTTTTTACCCAGAAAACATCATATATAAACAAAATTTTTTACCAACATAAATCGACAATTGACTTGCATTTATTTTCAAACATACTTTTCAAAATGATAATGGCTATTTCATAATTTTTATGTAAGATTAAATTTGAAAATAATATTACTTTTTCCTGAAATTTTAGAATACCACAGAGAGATGTGAAATTTTAATTTTGAGACTTTCAGTACTATTAAAAATATATCAGATTTTCTCGAAATCAGATTACTTTGAATTAAATGTTAAAATTAAATACCTTACAATAAAATTCTGAAAAAAAAAAAAGTGAATTTTCCTGAACCAAACACCCTGTAAATGCAAAGCTTGGTTCATTGTATATCTCTTTTGTTCAAGGATGAGCAGATTATACTCACTCAGTTATGGGCAAACATCAACACCCCAAGGTTTGTTGGATACATTGCCTATTGGTTCCATTGCTCATGGAAGATATTGTTGCCAATGAAAATTGATGTACCAGCTCGTATCAGCAACCCTATTCTGTCACCTGTGTTATGCATCCAGCATTGGTGAATCCATCAATGAAACAATGAAAGTCCTTGCCATTAGATGCAAAACTAGTCTTTGTCTGTCAAACATTGTATATTTTTTGAAGTTCAGAAATGATATTTGTTGCCCAAAGACGAATCACCCGCCAATGAAACAATGAACTGAAGGAAAGTTGATGCCAATCCCTTCAGATTGTAGGTATGGCAGGTCCTTTGTGGACTGCAGATAACATGTAACCTATAGGTTGATAAACCAAAGTCTTCTTAAACAATATGAGAAGTTGATATGACAAAAGAATTAAACCTTTTTTATGGTCAATGCCGGTTGATTCATGATGCCTTTATAAGGCTCTCTTTTTCCTTTTTTTTTTTCACGATGGTGGTCTCCCTTTCCACAATTCATCTTTGGTGAATGTTAGATTGAATCTCAAGTATTTAATACATCAATTGGTACTACCATCAAAGGGACTGTAGCAACTGAAAAGTTACACATAGCATTATATAGTAGGGCATGGCAAGAAGAAACTAATAGGTGGTGGCAGCTTCAGTACTGATTATCTGGTTTGTAGATTTGGTGTTCTTGTCTCCTATTCCTTAGCATGGAAATTTACTATTTGTCATCCATTCTATACAAGAAAGAAAGGAATCCAGATTGATACATGCAAGATGGAACATCAATATAATGGGATTAATTTAATTGATAAGCTGCAAGCTATGGCTGATTTACATATAACAAGTAGGACACTGCAAGTGAAAACTTCAAATGATAATGGTCTTGATCCACTCCTGATTATGCTCAATTACATGAAGGGAACAAGCATTTTACTAACCTCTATAGACACAAACACACAAATATATACATCAAACTCTGTAGAAAAACTTAGCCCAGATCGACAGAAGCAGACCATAAAGGCTTTACCATTTTAGGAAGACATGAGACTTTTCCTGTATTCATAATTCTTTTCTGCAAGACATCCAGAACTGACGAGAGAGGTTATCCAAACCTGATCAGACCTCACAGGTTCATCATCATCATTCCGGTGCCAGCTCCAAAATGCATGAGTTGAATTCACTATCATGAGCTCACCATGACCAAAGCTTGCTTCACGGAACAATGACCACTCAGGTTGTGGGTGTCGGTACCTATAAGTAAATTTACAGGACTTTTTTTGAAATCACGGCCCAATATAAATTCGCTTGAAGGTTTCACTAAATTATTAAAGGCAAGCTTAACTTGTGGCTTGAAGTCGTTAGAACACACAAGATATATTCATGATGTTCGATTTGTAAATCTGGAATCAAAATTTTAAACAATTTAACTTGTGCTAATAAAGTTATTTTTTTCTAATTAGAATTAATATTTCAGAAAGTTTTCTACAGAAGAGGACATACTTTTGAGCTAAACCTTCCCTGTTGCCTCCATCTCCAACAGTAATATGAACAGAGCCACAAGGATCTGATTTTCCATTGTTAACACGTTTCTGTCAAGTAGAGAACCACATATCATTAGTCCATTCTAATACTATTAAGTAGGAGCAAAGTTAAGCCAGAATTGACATACAGTGCGCTCATAAGCATGCACATGACCAGCAAGTACCAAATCAACACCAGCAGCATAAAGCAATGGTTCCATGGCCACCATCATTTCATCCCCTTCCCTTTGATGAGCATAGTTACTATTGTACCATGGAACATGGAATAACACAACTAACCAGGGTGTCTTATTTCGGTCCACCTTTGAAAGATCAGCCTAAAGATTTAAAGATAAAAGAATCTTTGTCAAGTAAATAAACAACTGGAAATTTCATTATAATCATGATAGAATTACACTCTTTCTACTAGGCCACAGAACACTTTGCTTCCTTGTGGTTCAAGCAGAAACCACAAATTGGAGGAAAGGAAAAACCAACCTTCAACCAGCTATATTGATCTGAAAGCTCATCATAATCTGTATATGAACCAAGCATGATAACATGGACACCTGCAACTTCAAAAGAATAATAAAGATTCGAGTTTGATCCACTTTCCTCAAAGGGCATTTTCCATCTTGCATTATAGGACTGAAATGCATCTGTAAATAGTGGTATCTTCTCCCTTTCATGGTTGCCTTCAGTTACCATCCATGGTCTGGCACTCGCAAGTGGCTGCACCAGCTCACCAAAGGTGTCCCAGAGATGCTGCATGTAATCGGCATATGAAAGGTCCCCAGGAAGCAGATATATGTTATATTTGCATTGGTCAATGTGATCCAGCGTTGTTTTAGTCCAGCCAGTTTGACCCAAATCCCCAGCCACAGCAAAAGTGACAGGAAATTGTGCTGGAGAAGTCTTTAGCTTAAACTCTGGACCTTTTCCTCCACAACGATAAAAATAAACAGTATCATCTTCCAAAGGCCCAATGACAGTGTGGTGTATCTTGCCTGACCTGTAGAACAGGTAACTATAAGAGGTGGCCTCTCCTTCAGCTGAAAAGGTGTATCGTCCAGGTGACGTTCCATATTCAACAATTGAAAGAGTGGATTTATCTTCAGTGACCCATGAGATTCGCATATGTTTCTCTCCTGCCAATGATATGTGTACCTGCAACATAAATTTGTCAAGCGAAAAGCATTTCAACTAAATGGCAACATTAAGGTCTTGATGGAATTAACGTGAAATTAAATGGTCCAGGATAATAATTCTCCATGTAAAAATTGACAAAAAAAAATTTCTCCATACAAAAACTACAGAATCAACTCCTGTTAAAATATTGTCATAACAGTAGGCACACTTATTCATTTTTTTCTTCATTTGGGAACTCCAATTCCAACCATCACTTCACACCTCATGATCGAGATCAATTGTAAGACTGTAATTCCAGTAAGGATCATCTTGTATGTTTTAAGAATCATCCCCACGCAATTATGCATGTATCATGCTTTCAAATAATTTTTTTTTTATTACTCTTAAGAAGGAAATAGCTCTGGTTTGGTTCATGCATGCCTAATACTCTACACCGGCATTCTTCTTTTCCAGATAAGCATCATTAATCTCATAATCACAGATAATATTTCATCGAATTTTTTCAGGGAAAGTCTCTAACTCTAATCATAGATATCTATCATGATAGATTGCTCATGTAAAAAATTGATCATGCAGGTCCAATCAGCCCTAGAAGCAACCAATTTTATTAGCTTAAATTTCATGTTTTCTAAGCTGCTGAAATACAAAATCAAGAGATAAATTTGGCAGTAAAACAAACAACACAAAAAAAGTCAAATGATCAAAAAGCAAATTTTCTCAATAAAAAGCCATTTCTCAAAATACAGAAATAATCACAAATCCCACAAAATTTTCATACAAAAAAAAACCTCAAACCCAATACTTCCCAAAGAAACTCTTACTATATATATATATATATTTATAAAAGAAATTCTTTCTTTCAACAAAATTCAACTCAGAAGTGCACAAACAAGAAACACCCAGATCAGATCACATCAAGACAAAGTAAAAGAAACAATAAATCCGACAAAAAGATTAACAACCAAGAAACTGAAAAATGTTACAGATAAAAATGACAAAGTTACCTGCTGCGGCTGAGAAGGGTTCTTTGGATTCCATGGAAGATTCAAAGTTTTACGAGGTTGAGGTCTAATGTAATCAGTTCTGACAGTTGCTGAGATTGCCAGAAAAACAGTTAGTGCCACAAGTATCAATTTTTTGGTTTCCATTTTTCCTTGGCCTACTAGAAAATCTTTCCCTCGTGAAATACTGACCTGCAGCAAACTTTGACTTATTTGCATTTACTTCACTAATGATCCATTTTGAAATGACTGTTTTAGCCTTTTTGAGTTGGTGGTTTCTTGTTGGGAAAGTGGTAATGTCGTCATATCGCAGATTGCGTTCCTTTTGGAAAATGACCTTTTGTTTATCTTTTGTTGGTTTTGAAACGACATTTTCCTGAGCAGAATGATGCTTCAAGCTAAAAACCTGTTTTCAAAATACAGAACCAAGTCTTGTTTCTTCTCAGATTGTCCTACTCACCTGAACTTGGAAATTATCTATGAATCTTTGGCCCTGTCGTAACGGTTTTTGTCCGTTCGACGAATTTAAAAATAAAATAAAAATAATAAAATCATCATTAATTTTTTTATTAGATATGATTGATCACTTATTAAAATATATCATTTTAATAAAATTTTAAAATTAATTAAAATTTATTAAAAAGATAATTTTACGACCTGTAAAACAGTCTGAATTCGAGAATCGGTTACGCGTGTAGAAGGATTAGCACCCCACAACACCCGTAAAAAAATGGTATCAATTAACTACGTATTATTTTTTAATTTTGATAAAAATAGTCTAATTTTCGGTATTTAAAAAATAACTCTTAATTTTTTATTTATTAAAAAAAAATTTATTCTCGAAAAAAATAAATTAAAACCTTTTTATTAAAATAATTCTTAAAATATTTTAATACATTGGTAACATTAAAAGAGCTTTTTTTCACTTAGAAATTTTTTAGGCATCGCTTCCTGAAATACCTTAGAATCTCATCATCGGAGGCTCCAATTTACTTTTCGTAAAAAATATCATGCATGCAATGCAAAATGTTACCATGTTGATGCACATATTTTATTCTCTTTTGTTAAAAATTTTATTAATTATTTTATTAATATTTATTTTTAATTGAAATTTTGAAGAAAAAGGAATTTAATTATATTGAAGATTTTCTATAAATATTTCAATACACTGGTAATATTTTATAAAAAATCTTCTCACCTAGAAATTTCTTAAAGCATCTTTACTCGAAATACTTTTAGAATCCTATCATCGGATAAAATTTCTTTTCTTCTCATTTTTATTACTTATATTTTTAATATATTAATCAATTTTTATTTATTACTATTTTATAAGAAAAAATTTTTTTTTATTGTATTGAAAATTTTTATAAATACTCTAATACACTGGTAGTATTTAAAAAAATCTTCTCACCTAGAGATTTCGTAGGTATCACTACTCAGGGCACATTTGAATCTCATCGTCGGATAAAAATTTTTTTTCTTGCATTTTTATTATTTTGGTATTATTATTAAGTTTAGTTTATTTTTTTTATTTTTAAAGTTCGTTTTAAAAATTAACAAAATTATAAAAAAATATTTCATCATTTAATCTATCAAATATAAATATTTTGATATGCATAAATATTAATAAAATAATAATTAGAATAACCAAAATAATATTTTTTAAAAAAAAATAAAAAAAATTTTGTTTTTACCTGAACCGGATCGGTCAACGGGCGGTTCGGTACTGGTTCGATTCGGGTTCAACGATTCGGCTCTGGTTTAATCAGACCGGTTAGAGGCTGATGGAGAAGTGGATCGCGGGTCGGGTGCGAGGATCCCGGGTTGGGTCACGGGTTAACGCGTGGATCCTGGGTGCTTAAAACGACGTTGTTTTAGGTGTTTATTGAAACGACATCGTTTTGACTATTGACAGCTTATATAAAAGCTCAAAATTTTTTTTGGTAATTTCTTCCTTTCTACGTAAAAAAAAAAGAACCTTCTTTTTTTCTTTTTTTTTCCAGTCGACCTGGGGCCGATGTCGTCCGTCGCGACTGTTGTCGCAGTCCTTACCGACGGTGAGCTCCGACCGTCGTCGCCGGTGCTAAAAAATTCTAAAATATACCAAAAAACTCCTTTCGACCTCCTGAACACAGATCCGACCTCTTTTTCACCAAAAAGATTCTTCACGTCCCTAAATCTGCTGTCAAAGTTTCTGTGAAATTTTTTTTTTTTTGAAATTGACTCTTTTTTTTAAATTGACTTTTTTTTCTTCTTTGTGCAGGAAGCTCGACGCTGGGTTCCTCCATACGGGGAGGATTGTTGATTTTTTTTAAATTTTTTTGGCAAAATCTCCCCTTTATTTTTTTTATCAGTTAAAAGCTCTATTTATAGAGCTTCGGTAGTGCTCTGTGCCTAAGCGAATGGCGCAGGGTTAGGCATAAGGACGTAAGCACGACCCTCATGCTTCTTTTATTTTTTTTTGGCAACATCTGACAGTGGTAAGGTTAGGTGATCAGATAGGTGGAGGGTAGGGCATGATGAAAGATGGGTGGTAGGGTATAGTGGCAGTGGTGCCGAGGAAGGCACCACTGCCATCCTCGATTTTTTTTTGTTCTAATTTTTTATATTTTTTTTATATTTTGTATTATTTTTGCTATTATTTTTGTATTTCGTATTTTATATTTTTTTGTATTTTGTATTTAATAATAATAATATATTTTTTCTGGACAAATTTGATGTCCATAACTGCCCCTCTTTGCACATTGTTGATAATCAGTAATATGACAAAGACAAAGACAACAATTTTATCCAGAATCCAAATAAATTTTTCTTTTCTTTTTTTCCTCTTTTTTTTTAAACATAGACTACTCAAAAAAAAAAATTTTAAATCGAAAATGCTCATTTCACTTGAGGCTCGACAACTTTTGGAATTTAAAATCTGAAAAAAACTCCTCTCAGTAGAGGCTCAATAACTTTCTAATTTTTATCTTGAAAAGGGTTCCTCTCAGTAGAGGCTCCACAACCTTAAAATCTTTTTTGAAAAAGCTCCTCTTAACAGAAGCTTAACAATTTAAAAATCCACCTTGAAAAGGGCTCCTTTCAGCAGAGGCTCAACGACTTTAAAAATCATCTTGAAAAAAAAAGCTCATCTCAGCAGAGGCTCAACGACTTTAAAATCTCATCTTGAAAAAGGCTCATTTTAGCAGAGGCTCAATGACTTTAAAAATCATCTTGGAAAGGCTCCTCTTAGCAGAGGCTCAACAATTTTAAAATCTCATCTTGGAAAGGGTTCCTCTCAACAGAGGCTCCATAACTTTAAAATCTCTTTTGGAAAAAGCTCCTCTTAATAGAGGCTCAACAATTTTAAAATCCATATTCAAAAGGGTTTCTCTCAGTAGAGCCTCAACAACTTTAAAATCTCATCTTAAAAAAGGCTCATTTCAGCAGAGGCTCAACTACTTTAAAATCTCTTTTGGAAAAGCTCCTCTCAGCAGAGGCTCAACAACTTTAAAAGTCATCTTGAAAGGCTCCTCTCAGCAGAGACTCAACAACTTTAAAATCTCATCTTGAAAAGGATTCTTCTCAGCAGAGGCTTCACAACTTTAAAAGCTCTTTTGAAAAAACTCCTCTTAACAGAGGCTCAATAACTTAAAAATTCATCTTGAAAAGGGCTCATCTCAGCAGAGGCTTAACAATTTTAAAATCTCATCTTGAAAAAGGCTCATCTCAGTAGAGGCTTAACGACTTTAAAAATCATCTTAAAAAAGCTCCTTTTAGCAGAGGCTCAATAACTTTAAAATCTCATCTTTTTTCAAAATTGAATTCTTTTCTTTTAACAAGTAAATTTCTCTCTTTTGAAATCTTTTGATTGATCAAAAAATAAAAAGTCTCTGTCCTTATTAAAACTGCTCATAGATACATGTACTGAGTGCTCTAAATGCAATGCATGTAATGCAATCAAAATTATTCATTATAGTAGAAAGGTTCTCGAAATCTCTCACTTTTGACTTCTTTTATCAGAATTCTTATATGACCAATATGTTCTTAACATCTAACCACAATACTTTTCTTCTTCAAAAGTATGCAACATCAATATCTGTCATGCTTTTCTCATCCTTTTTCATTTGCCTTTGTCAACTTTAAAAGTATGCTAAAATCTTTCATGTTTATTTTTCTTTTCATCATTTTAAGTCCAAAACTAGTAAAATGCAATCACACATTTCTTCTATTCGTATGACGGATAAAAAATGAGAATAAAGGAATGGATATGTGTTATTTCTAAAGAGCATATTTATTAGACTAGTAACAAGTGCATGGCAAAGTATTTGAGTTGAAATAAAGGTGCCCAAATAATGATCATAAGATAATCATGAACAGATATTTTTAGATTCTTTTTCTAAACTAAATTAGATGACTTCCTTGATCCTTTAGAGTTCATCAACCTACACTTACCCCTGTATTATGGAATGATGCTTCTTTTTCGCATCCAAGCCGCATTTTTTAGGTTTTTAGCTTAGATAAGTCATTATTTTTTATTTTTTACTTTTTTTCTTTCAAACAAAATATTTTTTCACAATATCTGAATTTATCGGAGTAGGTAAATCACTTCCGTCCATTTCTATCGAAATCAATGTCCCACAAGAAAAGGCTTTTTTTACCACATACTGGCCTTCCCAATTTGGTGTCCATTTTTTTTTATTATCATGCTGATTTGAAAGGATCTTTTTCAGCACTAAATCTCTTTTCCTAGAGCAATAGGGATGAATTTTCTTGTCATGTGCTCTCATCATTCTCTTTTGATATAATTGACCATGACAAAATGCTGTAAGTCTTTTCTCTTTAATGAGGTTCAACTACTCGTAGCGATTTTGAACCCATTCTGCTTTCTTTAATTTTACCTCCATCAGGACTCTCAGCGAAGAAATCTTCACTTCAACCAGTAGCACAACTTCTATTCTATATACCAAAGAGAACGGAGTGGCTCCAGTAGATGTTCGAACTGATGTTTTATAAGCATGCAAAATAAAGGTAACTTCTCATGCCAATCTTTATAGTATAGTGGCTTTTTTTAAGATTCTTTGATATTCTTATTGCAGCTTTCTACTTATCCGATCATCTTTGGACGATAAGTGTCGAATTACGGTGACGAATCTTGAATTGAGTGTAAACTTTATTCATCATTTTATTGTTTAAATTTTTAGCATT